GCGACATGCAAATGCTTGGGAGTTGGGGTCGTGAAGCTCGTCAGGCAGTCGAGATATCCATGTTGCTTGCGAGCTTTCTATGTGATGGCGGAATTCCATCGTCTTTCTTGGGCCGTTCGATCTGGTGGGGATCATCTTTGTACAACTTCGGGTCCTTGCGAGGTGCAACCATTTAGTACCGTGGCACGTGTCATTCATGTTCATCGCCATCCGTATTTGGGAATAGTGGGTCTGATTGTGGAATTCTCAGGAGCGCGATCATTCGGATTTGGTGTCATTTGCGTGGTGGGCATCCGTCTTTGTGAACCACGGTCTCTGCGCACATGAACGGGGCACAACCGTGACGTGTCGATGCGCGTTTGATGAATACAACGGAGGGTCAGGCCTTGTGCAACAGGCCTTGCTCCTCAAGGAGGAAAGTCGGAAAACATCAGGCGACATCACGATGGCCAACAATGGCGGCGGGTTGCCAGCCACGCGCAGAGAAGGTGCGGGCGCCCCTTCTAAGAAGCTTGTGTTGCTTCTTGGAAGCTGTGCCTGGCGTGCTTCTAAGAAGCAGGTGGTTTTCTTCTAAGATGCTTTCTTGTTTCTAAGAAGCAGTTCCGTGCTTCTCAGAAGCTGCTGGGGTGCTTCTGAGAAGCGGCGCGCCCCTGTTTTTTTAGAAGGGCGGCCGGTGCTTTACAGTCAAGACGCTTGAATAAGGACCGCTATGGGCTCAGGAGGGGCTCGGGTTTTCGGACCGCTTCTTATGTTCATGTCGTGGAACCTGTGTGTGGCTTAGGCCCGCCATGGCCGGAAAAGTCCCCTCTTTTCTTACTGTGCGCTCCTTCTGCTTGCACGATGGCTGTAAGAGGCAGTCGCCTGCCAAGAAGCCTCCCCCCTCCCGCTGCCCTCCTATGCGCGCCGCCATGTCTGGTAGGCGCAGGCCACGGTCCGCACGGGAGGCCGATGCGGTTTGCGCGAGAATCGCCTTGGCTGGAGTAGGGGATCTATTTCATAGTTCCCCAAACAGTGCTTGCACTTAGGGGTTCTTATTTGGCTTAGCCATCTCGGGGTGAATGGCGGCTTTTGCGGACGGTGCCGCCCGTCGCCGCCGTCGCCGGCGCCGTCGCCGGTGCGCCCGTCGCCGCCGTCGCCGCCGTCGCCGTCGCCGCCGCTCGGGGCGAGTGGGGACTTGCGGGCGGTGCCGCCCGTCGCCGCCGTTCGGGGCGGGTGGCGGCTTTTGCTGGTGGTGCCGCCCGTTGCCACCGTCGCCGTCGCATAATTTGGGATGATCGGTTCCCTTTTTCGTGTTGCAATGTACGTATGACTCTGCCTCATGGTCCATCTTGAATATGAGTTCGTACCATGCCAGGCAGGCCGGTATCGACGCCTCCGCCATCTTTCGGGTATAGCCAGGACCCCAGGTAAGGGGACCCGGTTAGTAGTAGGGCCCCGGAGTCTTTCAATTGGCCAAAAATCACTGAACCAGGTCTGCCGTAGCTGGTGTTTATTCGGGTGACGGCACTTCCGGTTGGTGAAACGGGGCGGGGGGGGCGCCCCCCAGTACACATCACTAAACCAGGTCCCACCAAACCCAGTTCTGCCAACGCCCGAATCTTCGGCAACGCATAGTATGCGCGCGCACCTTTTTCATCAAAAAACAGTTTTCAAGCGTCATTTGCCCCCCAAAAAAAACATGACGAAGCGCACACGCGCGCGTCGTCGCGCACGCATGCCGAAATCCTTCAAAAACCTTCGGCGTCGTAAGGATGTCAAAGTCGAGTGTCAATATCTATATACCAGGGCACAGCCTAGGGCATGCCCGGGCTCAGCCTCGCGGACCTACTCTAAAACCATCTGTTCAAAAACCCTTGTTTTGTTCCACGCCCTGCCGTCATCGCGCAAATTATATTCAAAAACCAAAATTAAGAAATTGTCACGGCGCTCTTCCTCCGGATATTCCTCCGGATTTTCTTACAGATCTTCACAGGTCACTAAATCTTCACGTAAATCTTCGCCCAGGCCCGTAAATCTTCACCCAGGGCTTTAATTTTTCCCCCAGAGCCCGAAATCTTCACTTAAATCTTCACCCCGGGCCCTAAATCTTCACATAAATCTGCGCCCAGGGCCGTAAATCTTCGCCTAAATCTTCACCCGGGACCCTGAATCTTCACCTAAATCTTCACCCAGGGCCGCAAAACTTCACCCAGGCTTGAAATCTTCGCGTGCATCTTCCTCCAGCGCACTAAATCTTCACCCAGGGGCGTAAATCTTCACCCTGGCCTTAAATCTTCATCTAAATATTCGCCCATGCTCTTAAATCTTTCCCCAGGGTATTAAATCTTCATTTAAATCTTCTTCCAAGCGCGTAAATCTTCAGCCAGGGCTTTAAATCTTCACCCAGAGCTCGAAATCTTCACCGAACTCTTCGCCCAGGGCTTTAAATCTTCACGTTCATCTTCACCCAGGGCCGTAAATCTTCACCTAAATCTTCACCCAGGAACCTGAATCTTAAGCAAAATCTTCGCCCATGGCCGCAAGACTTCACCCAGGCCCACAGGCGCGAGGCACCTCCAGGGCCCACATTGCGAGGATGTCTCGGGCGGATTGCCTTGTTTGGTGGGCGCACTCGTTTGCGTTCAAAGCAGATTACGAGGACCGCTCATTACGAAGGCCCGCAACATAAACCTTCACCAAAATCTTCACCCCAGAGGCCCGCCAGCCTAAATCTTCATTCAAATCTTCACGAAAATCTTCACCCTGGAGGCCCGCCAGCGTAAATCTTCACGAAAATCTTCGCCCCGGAGGCCCGCCAGCCTAAATCTTCACATAAATCTTGACGAAGATCTTCAACCCTGAGGCTCGCCAGCCTAAATCTTCATTTACATCTTCACGAAAATCTACACCCCGGAGGCTCGCCAGCCTAAATCTTCATTTAAATCTCCACGAGAATCTTCACCCCAGAGGCTCGCCAGCCTAAATATTCACGTAAATCTTCGCGAAAGTCTTTACCTTGGAGGCCCGCCAGCCTAAATCTTCATTTAAATCTTCACGAAAATCTTCGCCCTGGAGGCGCGCCAGCCTAAATCTTCACGCAAATCTTTTCAAAAATCTTCACCCCGGAGTCTTACCGAACATCTTCGCCCAGAGTCCCCCCGCCAGCCTAAATCGTCATGTAAGTCTTCACGAAGATCTTCACCCCAGAGGCCCGCCAGCCTAAATCTTCATGCAAATTTTCTCAAGAATCTTCACCCCGGAGGCCCGCCAGCCTAAATCTTCATGTAAGTCTTACCAAACATCTTCGCCCAGAGACCCCCCGCGAGCCTAAATCTTCATTTAAATCTTCACGAAAATCTTCACCCCGGAGGCCCGCCAGCCTCTTCACGAAAATCTTCGCCCTGGAGGCCCGCCAGCCTAAATCTTCATTTAAATCTTCACGAAAATCTTCACCCCGGAGCCCCGCCAGCCTAGATATTCACGAAAGTCTTCACCCCGGAGGCCCGCCCGCCTAAATCTTCATTCAAATCCTCACGAAAATCTTCGCCCCGGAGACCCACCAGCTTAGATTTTCATTTATATCTTCACGAAGATCTTCACCCCGGAGGCGCGCCAGCCTAAATCTTCACGAAAATTTGTGCCCGGGAGGCCCGCCAGAATTTTCAGTTAAATCTTCACGAAGATCTTCACCCCGGCGCCCCGCCAGCCTAAATCTTCATTTAAATCTTCACGAATTTTTCACCCCGGAGGACCACCCGCCTAAATCTTCATTTGAATCTTCACGGAAATCGTCACCCCGGAGGCCCACCCGCCTAAATCTTCGTGTAAATCTTCACGGAATCGTCACCCCGGAGGCCCGCCAGCTTCAATCTTCATTCAAATCTTCACGAAAATCTTCACCCCGCAGCCCCTCCAGCCTAAATATTCATGTAAATCTTCACATTCATCTTCACTCCGGAGGCCCGCCAGTCTAAATCTTCATTTCAATTTCTCCTCAATTCTTCACCCAGAGCCCCATCGTCACCCCCGGCAAGACCCCCCCCCCAGCTCGACCCCCGAACAACCCCCCCAGCGTCCTCCCCCCAATACAAGATGCCACCCTAAAAAGTTCGTTTTTTGATATTTATTTGAGGTGCCCACTTAGAATTGCATTTTCAGGCTTCACGCGGATTGGCGCAGATTTCATCATGGAAACTTTGTTTTGTTTATTGCCGAGTCATTGCGTTTTCTTCTTGTTTTTGAATCCTAGTTTTGTGGGTCGCCCCGGCGCGGCGCTCCACACTCTACGCGACAACCCAACACTAAAAAAAAAAAAATGTTTTTTCAACAACAATGTTTTGTTTTGTTTCAAACTCCCTCTCTCTATATATATGTATGTAAATTTATATATGTATATATGTATACACACATACATACATATAACACATGCTCCCACAACACTGATTTGTGTATGCGTGCGCTCTTGCGAATTTTTACCGTAGGTTGTGCATCCTTTCGGAACATGTTACCAAGCAGCTTCGCGCGCGCTCATCTCGAAATCGTTCGAGAGCCCTTGGGCGCGTGCCGTCACGATAATCCTGTGCAGCAAATGGGACGAAGTGCACGCGCACGCGTCGTCGTGCGCATGCTGCAATCCGTCAAACTTTTTTGGTGTCGTAGCGATGTTGAAACCAAGTGTTCCAAAACATACGAACAACACATGGTTTCGCAACATATAAGTTTTCAGAAGAGCGTGCGCTCGCGCTCTTGCGAAACCTTAAGAAAGCAATGAGTTGTTTTCAACATCTATATGGAATTCTGCCAAAACGGGCTTCTGGCACCGCGTGCCGAAATCATTCGCACGCCCTTGCGCGCGTGATGTGGGGGGCACGATCCGTGTCAAATGCCATGCGGGCCTCCCGCGCGTTGGCCGTGCGCGCGTGTCGACCTCTGTCCAAAACCTTCGTCGCCGACGCGAGGCCGCCGTCATCGTCGTCGGCGCGATCAGCATCGGCGCCCGCACTGGCCGCGCCGTCGTCGTT